TTTGCGCCACGGATCCCCTATTGATTGTCCCAGGGCCCGCTAACAGGCCCCGAGGCCGAAATCGAGCGGGGCGAATTAAGACGAGGACAAGTCCGTTCGAGAGCGTTCCAGAACGCTCTCAGAGCGTTCCGGAACGCTCTGAGAAGGCCGCGGCGCCCGAGGTATCTTCCAGAGCCGCCAGATCTCACATATTCTCGATTCATCCTCGCCCGAATTTGTCCTCAGTCTGGCCTCGTCTTACCAGAGGCCGACATCGAGATAACTCGCCCGGATTGAACAAGTCATATCGTCGGATAGCGGGGCCGTGGTCCCTTCGCTGTGGCTCGAGCCCCCGCGGCATCCCGCGGGAGGGCAGGGCGCGGGCCAGCGCGCTCGCTGCTGCCCAGGCTGCCCCCCGATGGCGGCCAGATAGGGCAGCGCCCGCCCGAGGCGCCCCGCGCTGGCTCCTGCGGGGGAGGGGGGATTGCCCGGGGTTGCGCTGTATTGTGAAGGCCTTGCGGCCGGTGCCGCTGACCCTGAAGGTGAGACCTCGGGGGTGGACAGAACCCCCAACAGTGACACGTCGATTAGTGAATTGTCCGTTTTCGGTTCTCGAGATGGCGCCGTGGCCGTTAGTTTCCAGGCTTGCGCCCGCCAGGTTTGGGCATCAGGTCGTTTTCACTAAACCACGTTTTACTAAAGGGGGGTCTGTCCATCCCCGAAGACCTCCCTCGGGATCCCCGCTGGCGCACCCCCGGGACCTGCTGGGACCCCGGGGCGGGGTGCGGCATTCTGACCCCGGGACCGCTCCCCCACCACAGGCGGACCCGCGCTTGCTCTTGCGGGGAGGCTGTATGCGGTAGCAAATCCATCGAGCCTTGCATACCCTCGCAATCTGAATTTCGCTAGCGTCTGGTAGTCGATGAGATAGCGCCGACTTAGCGTCGATTTGCGACGATTAGCGTTGATTAGCGTCGGTGTAGCGCTGATTCGCAAGAGGCAACAACATGATATGGGAGGCTCTCGTGAGTTGCCACAGAAGGTGTTGTCAAGACGAAGGCGCAGTCGGGAACAATCAAAACCAGCGTTAACAATCGGACATTTTCGCAAGTGCGCCTTGCATTTGTCGGTTCTGGCCACCCGTCGTAAGTTTTCAGCGCTCCCTGCCCAAAGGTAGACTGTTTGATCCGTCTTGGCGCGCGGGGGGGCAACGATGCTGCTTGACCAGGGCGCCTTGCAGCCTTGTGTTGTTAAAGACCAGTCAGTTTTTCCATGTCGGTCAGGCTATTAGGGCTGGCAGTCAAAGGAAGAAACACGGTGACCCCGACCAAGAGGAGTCGCGGGAACTTGTCGATGCCGATATTGGCTATCGTCCATTTTGGCCGTCGCCGATTCGCGAGGATGTTGAATTAAACGACGACGACCATGACGGACGATGACCAATACCGACACCGACGTTTCTGTGTTCAGTTTTGGTTATGGCCTTCGTTTTTTGCCTTTCCAGGCAAGGCAAGGGCGTCGGGTATGATCAGCATCGTCATGCCGCAGGTGGGTCTTCAGTGGAAATGGATCCTGATGTTTTTCGCAGTTTTCCAGCATCTTGCCCCCCTGCCTTTGTCCCAGCACCGTCAATGAACGTTTCAGGAAAAATAGTTGGTCCTGGGGGGAAGCCCCATAGGTCAAGGATTCGTTTCCTTCAGGCATGTTTGCTACATGCCAGTAACAGGTCGTTCTTGCAATGGCAAGGGCGCTCTTGAGTCCTTGTTGTCATGGTCAACTCCTCCCAGAATGACGTATCCCATTCACGGCATGACGTAGCCCTTGTTGTCATGGTCACGGCAATGAAGTATCCCATTCACGGCGCCATATCGTTATAGAGATCAGCATGGGGGAGGAAGTGGAGAAAGAGAGGGGGAGGCGGAGGAGGAGGAGAAGGAGGAGCAGGAGAGGGACAGGTCAAAACGAAAAACGCGTAAACGATGTTGCAATGACTCCTCGCTCCAAGTTCTTCCTTCACAGGTCCCTACAATAATCCGCCGGGCCCAGAGGCGTGTGCGAAATCTTTTCCCCCACGCATTGCGTGTATGGTGTAATCTTCTATGGTTGGTTCCGTTCTTTTTCTTTTCTTCGTCGTCAGCATCACGAGGACTTATGGTCCCCCACACGACAAATTCTGGCCTAGAACCGACCCTGCCCCCCACACCCTCCACGCACTGGGACCATTGTGATTAAACCCTCCACGCGATAAAGGCGGGCCAGGAAGCGACCCGGCCTCCCACCCAACCCCCGCGACACCGTCCACGCTCTGGGACCATGGTTTCTGGGCCCCCCGCGCGGCAGATCCCCGCCTGGAACCGACCATGCCTCCCACCCACCCACCCACCCGACGCCCTGCACGCTCTGGGACCGCGGATGATGGGCCACCCACACGGAGCCGAGCCTGCCTCCCACCCCATCCCGAGAGCCGCCGCGCTCTGAGACCCTTGTCTTCGGACCTCCCACACGACAAGTCCAGGCCTGGATCGAAGACCGATTTCTGACCACATCCACCTCTGGATCCTCGATTCTATGATAGGCCCTCGTGGGTGGAAGTGGGTAGCTGTTCCTTCCCCTGGGGCGGGGAAACTGCCCACCTCCACCTCTGGAAACCGCTTTTCGCAAGGCACCTCGGGAAGTGGGTGTGGTCAGACATCGGTCTCCTATACTGGAGTCGACCCTGCCTCAGTGGTGCTCTCTGGACGCCCACGAGGCGCCCGCGGGCGGGCGCCCGCCGGGCACCGGGCGAAACTCGGCCGCCACACCACCCGGAGCCTCGGGGCGCCCACGAGGCAGGCATCCACCGGGCACCGGGCGGAGCCTCGCCGAACCCGCCCGATCACATGCTGAGGGTCCAGCACCTGTTTTGGGGAATGTGCACGTGCAAGCATCACAGGCTGCACACGCACACACGTGGAAGAAGAACAAACGCCATAAGCATATCTTGTTGGCGCTCCGCGCGGATTTCTCGGATCTGCGCTGGGGTCCCCCCGGCGGCGCTTTCGGCGCCGCCCCTGGCGCGCTCCGCGCGCCAGGCAGGGGGGGGTCCAGCGCGGGTCCAAGAAATCCGCGCGGAGCGCCAAATGTTTATTTTTATGGTCATTCTCGTTCTAGGCAAGTGTCACAGACTGCACATGCACAACGCACGGACACCAAGCTCCCAGGTCGAACACAACGCGCGCAGGCACAATCTGAATTTGCTCGGCGACTGCCCGTCGCGTGGCAAGTGGGTTACATTTTGATCTGGATACGAACTTGACCATCGGCGATAAGCTCTAGCCTCAGGTGTGCATCGGGTGTCGGCCACAGGGCAGTCTCGGCGAAAGCTCCAGCACGGAGGGAATGTCACTGGTAGGCTGCCTCCCTCTGCCAGTCGACTAGTGGCAGTCTTTTCCGCTCATAACAGTACCGTTCACATCGCATCACGCACACACTTCTTGACGTCGCGGCCGCGCGCTCGTAGCGGCGCGGCAAAGTCCGGCGCGGCCAGCAGTGCCAATCCCGACTCAGCGAGCCGATGCAGAAGACCTCACTCCTAAGCAGCTCTGCGAGGTCGCGTAGGGCTCACCCATCGAGAGCCTCATTACGCGACACACTTACACACGAACACACACACACACACAAACACCACTCACAAAACACACACACACAAACAAACAAACAAACAAACAACACACAACCAAAACATAACACACATTTGCACACACACACACACGCACATGCAAAACAACACACACGCACACACACACACACACACTCGCACACAAACACAAACACACACACACACACACGCACACAAAGCACAAACACACACACAAACAACGCAGCACACACGCACTCGCACACACAAAACAACACACTCACATACATACACACACATACACGCACACACACAAACAAAACACATACACACACAACGCACACACACAAGACACAATTCAGTGAAGGGCCGGTGGAGACAACAGCAGCTCCCGCGCCCCGGCCCCGATCCGCCCAAGATCGGTCTCCGTCCCCCCCCCCCTCCAGGGAGCATCCCGGCCAGGCTCTCGAGGCGAATCTCTCCAGCCGCGGCGGCGAGGAGCCTCCCCGGCAGACCCAGGAGGAGCGAGACACTGCCGGGGAGGGCCGCCGTGGTTTGTCTCGACCGGCCCTCCTCGGAACAGCTCGGCCACACGCGATCGTTTCTCGGGGGCGGAAAAGAGGGCGGTGATGACAGGGGGGGGTGGATATCATGGCGGGGGCAATGATATTTCTCCAGGTTTCACGGCGCCTCTTCTTATTTCATTACGTCCCTGGCCCCCCCGCTGGGCCGCGCACATGCCGCCGGTCATGATTTGCACCCCCCCCTCTTGCACACCCCCCTCTTGGCCGCTCTCGAGTTTCTTTTACGTTGTTCTGCCGATCGGCACGGGCCCTCGCTCCCCCCCCCTCTCCCCCCCGCCCCCACGGAGTAGGTCTCGGCTGTGTTGTGCGGCTGCTTCGAGCAGGCGGGGTCTGGCCCATGCCACACCCTGCCGCAAGCAGTGGTCCGACTAAGAGTTGCGGCGGCCCACGCTGCCACGCTGACGGACCCCCCCCCCCCTCCCTCTTGCTTTTGGCCAGGGCGGCGGGGCAGGACAGGTGACGTACCATCAGCAGCCTCTCACCCCACAACCTTAGCAGAGGTCCAGAGCCAGACCCCCTCCCCCACCCCCCCGCCTTCGGCCGGAGGTTGATCGACCTCCCTACCCCGACACGTCGATTCGTGAATTCGCCGTTGTCGGTTCGCGAGAGGGCGTCACGGCCGTTATTCTTGCGGGTCCAGGTCCGTCGGTTTCGGTTCCTAGGCCATTTGTCTCTAAAGGGAGGTTTTCGAAAGGGGGGTCTGTCCACCGCCGATTCGGCCCTGTGTCGAAAAGGCCGCACGAGAAAACGTTCACTTGTCTCGACGGGTCCTCCCCCGAACAGCTCGGCCACCCGCAGAGGGGCGGGGGTAGGGGGCGCGGCAGGTCTTCCTGAGCAGGGGTGGACCTAATCGTTGCTTCGGTGATGTCATGGGCCGTTTTCGTTTCGGTTTCGTTGTGCGTCAAACTTTTGCGTTTTCGTTTTCGTTTCGGTCTTCAATCCGCTTTTAAAAGGCGGATTGAAGACAGAACGCGGGAATACGAACACAAAACGAAGACGAACAAAACCGTTTAGGTTCAGCCCTGCTTCTTGGAAGCACAGCTGCTTCTCAGAAGAGGCGGGCCTCGTCTGTAGTTAAGGGGGCCGGCGCCTTCTGAGGAGCAGCCTCTTTCAAGGGAGCCGTTCCCCCCTTCCCCCTACAGTGGGGGCGCGCATCAAGAAACCAAATGCCTTTCGTCAGGTTGTCCTGGGTTTCTTCGCTGCGCGCGCCGCGCGGTGACTTCCCGCGGCCGTTGAAGGAGCTGCTGCGTCCAAGGTGCTCCAGGTCCCTCTCAGGTGCACCGCGCGCGGGTTTTCGTCGGGCTTCTTGCGCGGGTTGCTTGCGGCCGGGCCCGCACTGCACCCCCTCGGACGGGGCCAGGACGAGGATGGAGCCCTCCCAGGGCGTTCCGGACCGCTCTGAGATGGCCGCGGCGCCCGAGACGCCCTCCAGAGCCGCCAGATGCTTGACCTGTCCCCATCCGCTCGCATCCTCGCCCTGGCTTCGTTTCACCCGCTCAGCCACGCGCAGAGGGGGGTGGGAGGGGGGGGAGGGCTTCTTAGAAGCACCCCTGCTTCTTAGAAGGCGCGGGCTTTATCTATAGATGTAAGGCCGGCGCCTTCAAAGAAGCAGCCTCCTTCTAAGAAGCCCTCCCCCCTCCCCCCACTCCCTTGTGCGCGCCGCCAACCCGCCCCCTCGTGCGCGCGGCCAAGAGCAGCACACGCGCCGCCACAACGCGGGCACGCCCGTGGCTTAGGTCGGGCCTGCCCCCCTACAGATGGATTTGGAGCGAAAAACGGGAAATACTCCACACAAATATTCCAAACATATGCAAACGTAGTCAAAAAATCGTCCCATATTATTTTCTGCCTCTTTTTGAATCTCGGGCAGAACGAAAGGGGGGGATAGGGAAAGGAGGGGGGGTACGAAATTTGCTGCATGCAGCTGGTTTCGGTTCCACCGAGGGGCCCATTCCTCGATACACGGCCGCCTCCGTCGCCGGGAGGCGCTAGGAAAGTCAGCTACACGAGAGCTGATTCTCCCCCCCCCCCTTTGCTATCCCCCTTTTTCGCCCGGCCCGAGAGTCTTCCTCCTGCAGAGGGACAGGTCCGTGGCTAAGGTCGCGCCTGCCCCCCTACAGGTGGATGTGGGGCGAAAAACTGAAAATACTCATCAAACCTATTCCAAACAGATTCAAACGTAGTCTAAGAATCAAGCCCAATTTGTTTGACTCTTTCTGAATCTTCCTCCTGTAGAGGGACAGGCCCGACCGTGGCCCGTGGCCCGTCGGCCCGCTGCGAGGCGCCGCCGGCCGCCCTGGCGCGGCGCCTGCGCCTCCGGCGGGCCCCAATGTCGAGCGCCGCACGAAGGGCGGCCGAGCCGCACCAGGCGCGGGGAGCCGCCGCACGGGCGGGCGGCCGGGCGGGTCGCGAGCCCCAGGTCCCTGCCCAGACAGGGCCGCGTCGTAAAAAAAAAGCAGGGCGGAGGTTTCTCGCTACTTTCGGCCCCTGGGGGCCCTCGCTGGGCCCCGGGACCGTCAAAAAAACGACTCCGGGTGAGAAACCGGCCCCTGGGAAAGGGTCGGGAATTCCGGGGACGCCGTCCTGAAACAATCAGGACGTCGCATGTCTGGGCTGGAGTCCAGAAGAAATTGACGACGGGAGATTTTCATTCGTGTTTTTTTGCGTTTTTTGCTTTCCCCTCAGCGCGACAGTAAGTTAAGGGACAGTTATATGCCTGCAGTGATCCAAAGGTTTGCGTGCATACATCTATATATATATATATATATATATATAGAGAGAGATGTATACATACATATATGTACATAATATATATATACACATACATACGTACATACATACATACATACATACATACATACATACATACATATATATATACATATATATGTATACACACATGTGTATACATATATGTATACACACACGGTCATGCATCATGCATGCCTTTGCAATGGCAGGGTGCGCATGTTACGGGATACCTCTTAGAGGCGGCGCCCGTGTCCAAAGTGACGGTCCAGGGGGCCTTTATCTGGCCCAGGGACCGTCAGAAAACGGCTCCGGATGGAAAACGAGTCCCGGGGACGGGGTCCAGATCTTTTGGGGTCGACGTTGTGAAAAAAATAACGTCGTCGGGGGTTTGGCAGTGTCGCGTCGAAATCCGAACTTTACCCTCGCCGGTCAACGATTCGGGCGACTCGATGAGCGGCGGGCGCAGGGTTCCCAATTCGGTGATCACGTGGCGAAATCCGAACCCTATCCCTGCTTGCCAGCGCTTCAGGAGAATCGATGGTTGGCGGGGGTAGGGTTCGGATTCCGCCACCTAGATTGCAGAGCTGCCCGACGGACCTCCGACCGAGGAAGCAAGAGACGATCTTTACGGTAGCAGTGCATGGGAACCTTTTGCTTACCTTCGTAATGCCGTCTTCAGGGTGCGCTTGCATCGATCAGCATCTGGCAATCGGTGGGATATTGCCGATTTCGCGTCGATTGTCGTCGGGTAGCGTCTATGAGCGTCGACCAACGTCGATTCGCGTCAACGGTTGTCGACTCGCCGGAGCCCTCAGGATGGTACGGGAGGCTCTTGCCAATGGCCTCCGAACACTACATGAGCATCCTGGCCGCCTCTGCAGTGGCGACGCGTCCTGGCTCGCCTATAGCCCTACCAAACAATGTTCTAAGAACCTTTTGTGGTTTCCACGACATGTTCTTAGAACATTTCTGGTTGAGATGTTCTTGTTTTACCACATCGGGCTAATGTTCTAAGAACATTGTTTTTGTTCTTAGGATATGCTTGGGTTCTACGAATATTTCGTGGTAGGACTATAGGAATGCCGGGACGGTCGGTCCCTGCTCAAACATGGTTTTTAATCAAGTGAGGAAAAACAGCCCTGACCCGATACATGGCGTTTATTAAAAGGCACTCGGCGTTTACTAAGCCGCCCTTACCTGTTCGATTCCTCCTGTGGGTGCGTTTACTAAGCGGCTCCGCGTGCCGGGGTGATGATTATAGGGGTGGATTTTCTGCCGTCTATCTAAAAGACGCCACACGATTGGTAAGGCTTCGGGTTGTGCACTGACAGCCCCTCCAGGTGGGCGGGGCTGGACTCCACAGGCCCCCCCGAGAAGTCCCAGTTGACGTCAACAGGCCCCCCGGGTAGCCTAGCCCGTGCGTGGGGTCGGTTGAGGTCAGCTGGGCTTACTTGGGAGGGCTACCACACTGCACAGGCACGTTTTCTGAGGTCCGCGCGGCATTCTTTGAGCAGCGTCGGGGCACCCCTGCCGGCGCCCTCGGCGAAGCCCCTGGCGCACTCCGAGCGCAAGTGAAAGGGGGCCCGGCGCAGGTACGAGACATCCGCGCAGGCTTGCGAAAGGCAATTGCAGTTTGTAGCTCCTCTATGTTCGGAGAACACAATTATTTTGCTTCGAGCGATCCCCACCGAAACCTTGAGAGCGTTTGTTCCCGGAGGTGCGCGCGCCTACCGGAACGATGCGCGCAGGGCCCCTTGGTATTGGCCAGCGCGTCGGCCCGGTCAGGTCGCAAGTTGCCAATGTCCTAACATCTAACAGCCGAAGTCGTCCTGCCCCTGACGGAAGAAACCGAAACAAGCCCTGGGGCGAAAAAGGCCCGAAAGGCGTGGTGTGAGCGAGGCTCCAGAACCTGTTCGGAGAGAATGCTAAGTCGGTTGAAGGAGGCGGAGGAGGAGGAGCTATCTTCTGTTCGCTTGGAATTTGCCCCAGCGCACGACATGACATTATGTTATGTTATATTATGTTATGGTCGGGCCGGCGTGACGTCGTGACGCCTGTCACGTCAGAGGCGTCGTCTAATGGATCGTTGTTGCGCCTGTTGGTTATTGTGGCCCACAGCTATGTAATAAAACCATATACTACATCGTAGTGTGAAGTATGTCATGTCAGTAGCACCTCAGTCACAGTATGATTTGATACGTCATGTTAGGCCAGTTTGCATTATGTATGGTTGTGCTCCAGTATGATATGTTCAATGGTGTTGGTTACGTGATGCTCGGTTCACCATCGTATGATATGATCTGCGTTTTCGTGCCAGGTCTCTTCAATGAAGGAATCGTTCTCAATGATCTATCAGACTCGTTGTCGTGCTTTAGCAGTGCTAGGCTACGTAGGTCGTACTCGCTGTCGCAGTTGTAGCAGAAGTAGTAGTAGCAGTTGTTGTAGTAACAAGTTTGTTACGGCATGCTGGTTACGTTGTGAGGTGTGCACTATCATGTTGTGTTGTGTGATGGCATGGGTTTCCTCTGTGACATGTTGAAGCCCATGATGTTATAGTACTTCGTTGCCGTTGTCCTAGCATGAGCACACCACCTATGGTATGTTATGCTGTAGTATTATATGATGTAACCCCAGGAAGCATTTAAGAACCCCCCCCCCCTTCCGGCAAATCGATAACCCTTCCGCACCCTGGAAGCGTTACCTGGCACCAGGAGCCCTCCTCCTCCTCCTCCTCATCCTCCTCCTCCTCCTCCTCCTCTCCTCCACCCACGAACTTCCTCCTGCCCCCTCCTCCTCCTCCTCCTCCTCCTCCTCCTCCTCCTCCTCCTCCTCCTCCTCGCGCCCCCCTCCTTCCCTCGGGGCCCAAGGCCTGTCAGGGCCCAAGCAGCAAGCGACATCCTGAGTCTTTCATGAGAGCCACGCAGATTTGAATTTCGAATTTCGATTGTAGCCCAGGGGCCAGGCCTCCGCGAATTTGTTGTGTGTCCAGGTGCTAAACCTATCGTGCGGTTATTTCGGCCCCTCGGAATATCGAATAAAAATGCGGTGCTAAGATATCGCCGGGGGGGTTCTTAAATGCTTCCTGGGGTTACTCTATTCTGCTATGGTCTTTCACGGTATGCGTTGTGTTGTGACGCTGTGTTCGATATTGCGTTCTGTCATGTTATGTTCCATCTTGACAGGTTGTTTGATGCCTTGCTTGACATGTCATGCTCTGTGATTCAATACGATGATGTACAGCGCTTGCTCATGTCATCGTGTGTCACGCTTGAAATGCTATCATATGTGATGCTATGTTATGTGATGCGCTGTGCTTCCATGAAGTGGTATGAGATGGTATGGTAGTCTGTGTTCTGGTATGTTGTTACGATAGGATGTGTGGTGCTATGCATTGATATGTATGTTCCGTTTTGGCCGTTCACGCAGTGTTCTGATGTACTCTGGTATGTCCGGCCCTGTCATGCTATTGAATTGCATGTTTTTCTAGATGTTGGCAGTCTGTTATCGCTGAATCTTTTTTATATACAATGTGATGCCGCACTACACCATGGTATGTGTTATCATGATATGAAGTGCACGTACCAATGTTGCTGTATTATAGTATCATAGGATGTGGCATGATGTGTTGTATTATGCCAGGTTGTGGTGTGGTGTGCTATGCTGTGCTAGATTAGGCATTATTGTGTGATTGCATGCCCTGCTCTGTATGCTCTGCTATGTCAGTGCATGCGTCGCTGTGCTGTGTTATACTTGGTTATGGTATGGTATGATATACTGTATTCTATTATGTTATGTTGTTATGTGTTATGTTATGCGGTGCGTTGTGAATGTCTGTTCTGTATGCTCCGCTCTGTCATTGCACGCGCTGGTATTATGTCTTGTGGTAGGATGTTATGCTATGAGTGTTTCGTTACGTCAGTATCCAACACTATGTGTTTGTTTCTTTTTTGAACGCATGGTATACCACGTGCAGCCATGGAATGCTTGGAAATCGTACGCAGTGCTCTGGTACGCACCGTTGTGCTATTTGATGCTCTGTTATGCTATGGTAGTTTGTCTATTGTCTGATGAGGGACACCACTGGAGCCCCGTGAATCGCTGATCAGAGCGCGCCGAGGGGAGGCAGGTGAGACGGGACTGGCCTTCCCAGAGGGCGGCGAGGGCTCGGACAAGGCTCAGGACGCTCCTCAGGAGGCCGGGAGGCCTTCCACCCGAGGGCGCCCCGCCGAGGTCGGGCGGACGCAGCCCAGACGACGGGTCGTGCTCGCTTCGGGTCGTGGCCCCTCCCGTGGCTCGGCCGGGTCGCTCTCTTCCGGTCTGTGCGGTCCTCCGCGTTTCGCGTGCAGCGAAGGGGGGAGGAGGAGGAGGAGGAGGAGGAGGAGGAGGAGGAGGAGGAGGAGGAGGAATGGTAGCAGTACGGCGGGCAGCAGGGGGGGCGGGGGAGGAGGAGGAGGAGGTCGAGCAGGGAGGGGATGATAGCAGGAGAAGGAGGAGGAGGAAGAGGAGGATGAGTTGGACCATTGTAAAACCGAGACGCATCGAGGATGGTACAGTAAACCCTCCCTCGAAGGTTCATCTTCATAGGTCCTTACAATGGCTTGTGCTCATTACAGGAACTTCCCCACTGAAAGACAGCCGTGCGAATAATGCAAATTGCAAATGGTCTCATTCCCCCAGACTCCGAGAAGGGGAGATGCCCTCTTGGGAGCCACTCGGGGGCCTCCTGGGCCGTCTTGGAGTCCTCTTGGGCCGTCTTGTGGCCCTCTTTGGTCGTTGCTTCGGGAAGCAAACAGCTAAGCAAGATCACTGCATTTTGCCTCTTGGGGCTCTCTTGGAAGTGCTCTTGGAGTCCTCTCGGGGCGTCTTTGAGGCCGCTTGGGTCGTCTGGAGGCTGTAGTGGGAGTCTTGGACCGATCGTTCGGCGACCCCTGGCCCTCTTGGACAGTCTTGGGGGCCTGTTGGGGCACTCTTGGCCCGTCTTGGGGCCTTCTTAGGCTCCAGGACCCCCTTTGGGGAGTGATATTCTGACCCGGAACTCCGCCTCGACCCCCCCCCCCAGGACCCGCCCCCACGCCGGCGGGGAAGGGATCCAAGTGAAGGGGCTCTCCTGTGACTCATCTACGACTTTGCTCGATCTCGCTCTGGCTTACGCGATTGAGGAGGAGGGCCCAAGTAAAGGGCGGGGGAGCGGCGACGGCGACGACGACGACGAGTCAAACGAAACAGCGTCTCTCACACGCCGGCAGGTTCGGCGGATTTGAGAATCCTGGACCATGCCAGCATGCTATTCCTAGGACGTCAAGGCCGCGAATCAAAGTGGTTGGTGCGTCCTGACAGTCGTTAATCGCGTCAGAAAGCTATTCCTGGGCCATCAACTCCGCGAATCCACATGATTATTGCGTCCACGTGACTGGTTCTTTCTGACGAGGTGGAAGAGGAGGAGGGGCTGGAGACATAAAGTATCCCTCCCTCTCTTTTCCTGCACTCTTGCTTTCTCCTTCTGACCTATTTTCCCTCGCCCGGTCCTCATCTTTCCTCCCCCCTCACTCCCTCCCTCCTCCGTCGCTCCTCCTCCTGCCCTCCCCGCACCCGCAATTTCTTGTAGTGACCTGTCTCTCTTTCCAGGGGATGGTATCCGTCGTGCGCTGAGTCTCGTCGTCTGCCCTTCTCCGCCTGCTGCGCGGTCTCGCTCCCGGCCGACCTCTGGCAAGGGAAGGCCCTCTCCTCTCGCCTCCCGAGGATCGGCGCGGCGGAGACAGGTGGGCATTCGAAGTCCTCTCGGTTGCTTCCGTAGCTTTCCGCGGGGGCGCCTCGATGGCTCGCCCCGTCGCCGCACTGCTGTCAGGAGGGAAAGAAACACACAGACACAATTCATCGTCGACTCCCAGGAAAATATTCAAAAATATGGGAAGTGGGGGGGAAGACAAAAAACCCAAAATATGGGAAAATATGGGGAACCTTTTTATTTGTGTGTATTTATTTGTGTGTCCTGGGGCCCCTTCATGCTGCCCCCCCGGCAGCGTCCCGCTCGGCCCATCCGAGCTCGCGCCATCAGAGGCCATGGATGTGCAAGCGCGCAGAGAGGCACCGTCGCACGTGAGGCTGTGTCATTCCGACGATGGCGGTTCTTTGGCATGTGGGATTGCTCCCCGTTCTGCCTTTCCGCATTGCTGGTTCTTCTCCTCCGATCTCTCTGCTCGTTCTACTTCTCTGGCCTGTTGCTCCTCGCCCTGGTCCCCAGCGTGCGAAGCAGAGCGACGAGCTCCAAGAGGCGACAGAGAAGTGCAACGACGCGCTGGTCAGCCACACCGCCGGGCCTGGGCTGCTCCTGTTTCTCATGCTGTCCCCTTCATATCTGCAACAGTTGGCCAATGTGACTACTGATTATTGGGAGGACGACGATGATGATTTAGTCCAGTCCGATTGGTGACACGTTGTGTGATCTATGGTCTACTTGGAACGCTCTAGGCCTCCTGGATGGGGTCGGAGTGGATGGGGTCGGAGGATCGCGCCGCATCGCCGATACATCGCCGATGCATCGGCGAAGCATCGGCGACGCGGCTCGAGGTGGGGCCCAATTTTCTCCACGCCGACGTCACCGAGATGCATCGCCGACGTCACCAGTGCATCGCCAATGCATCGCCGATGCATCGGCGATGCATCGCCGATGTATCGGCGATGCGGCGGGATCCTCCGACCCCATCTGCTCGGACCCCACATAGGTGGCCTCTGAACACTTCGCGGCAAGACGTCTTTCGCCACCGCATGCAGGTGAAGAACAGCGCAAGAGAGACGGTAGAGGGAAACAATTATTGAACACCCCCCTCCCCCCCAAACTCAACGTTGGCACGCGCGGGGGAGACTGCGGTCGAAGTGCATCTCATCAGACCCACCGCCAACTTTGAACATTGGGGGAAGGGGGAGGCGTTGACGGATAAATGTGGCATGTGTTCGCTGATTTGTTCCGAGGCCTGGAGTGTAATGCGAACGCAGAGTGTTCGAGAAACGCTTCGAGCGACGGCCCCGAGAGCGGGTTCGATTCGTAATTCAACTGAGCACATTCGCGCATCTCATTCCATTATTGCCCTGGCCTCTCCTGGACCTTCGAGCCTTGTCTTGGTTACAGTCGGGGCGCTGAAGAAGGAACCCTTTTCGTTGGGGAGTGGCTCGATGTTCCTTAATTGTTCCACACCTTGTCTAAGGTTTCCCTTCTGTTTCCGATGGGACGTCGAAGTTTAACTTACGAAAAAAGGGGCCTCGTTCCGTATTTAGGGTTCCTTAGGTCAACGCTTCGACTGTACTCGGTTTCTTCTCATCATTGTTCGCAGGCCCGAATGTCGAATCATTTTTTTGGGCTTGGGGGCAATCCAGGCGACAGGCCGACGCCGTACAAATCCAGTGTTGCGAGTGGGGCTGTCCGCGAGGCAACTTGAGGCAGTTGCGAGGCCGTTCGGGGGGCATGTTGGGTCGTCCTGGGGCCCTCTGCAGCCGTTTTGTGCCCCTCTGGGTCTGTGCAGGTAGATTCGGGCAGCCCAGTCGGTATTCACGCCGTGACCCATCATTGTCTGTGCATGTGCTTCCTGGCTGAACTGGTATGTCCCGAAACGACGCACGCGGCACACGCCAGGAGCTCACGGAATGCACAAGAGTTCCCAGGAGCCGCTTCGGAATTGTGGGTCCCGGCCCCTAAGAATCTAGAATCCTGGCTGCAGCAGCAGCACCACATGTGTGAGCCTTGGGGCATTCTGGAATGTATTAGCAGATCTTTATTAGTCACGACGGATTCGAGGGCTCCCAATGGCACGTTCACGCACTGGTCTTGGGAGCACTGTTTGTTCGGAAGCGATTCGGCGACCTCGCGCCGTCTATGGTTAAGTTGTTATCAGGTTTCATCGAATCTCTCGGCATGAGTCGAGCAAGAAATGTGATTCGTTTCTTACAGTCCTTCGGCCCATCCTTGGCCAATTTCTGTGGCAGCGCCTCGCTCGAAAAGTGCCGGCATGGCCTCCCGAGGCCCTTGCATTCTCACCGCGCATAATTGCTGTCAGTTCTGAGTGTATCTGGTGGCAGTCGCCTGGGTCGTGGACAAGAGCCCTCTCAGAGGCACCTTGGCGTCCTCAGAAAGCTGTTTGGAGGCCTCCCTGGGGTTTCTGGAGGGCATCGTGACGGTATCTCGGGCGCCTTCTTCGAAGAAGAGGAAACGCCAAAAACATAAGTTGTTGGCGTTCCGCGCGAATTTTCTGGATCCGCGCTGGGCACCCCCCGCGGCGCCTCGGGCGCCTCCCCTGGCGCGCTCCGCGCGCCAGGGAGGGGGGCCCAGCGCAGATCCAAGAAATCCGCGCGAGCGCCCACAAGTTTATGTTTGTGGGGATTTGTACTCGTCTACTTCTTCAGCGAGCGAAGAACGGTATGAAATAAACTTCCCGCCGTCGGGGACACCTGCCCCTGGGCGGCTGGAAAGTTTATACCCCTACGGTGCCACCGTAAGGGTATAGACTTTCCAGCCGCCCTGGGGCAGGCGCCCCCGACAGCGAAAAAGTTTATTTTATACCGTTCTTCGCCCGTTCACTTCTGGAGGCCTCTTGCTGGCGTCTTGGGGCCCGTCGGGTGCCCTGTGGGGGCCCTGCTGGCGGCCTCGGGGCCCTTTTGGACCGGAGGGCTCGGATCCCGCTTGCGCCCCCCTTCGTCAGCCCCTCGGCTCGAGCTGGCTCCAGGCTCGCCGTCGCCCCAACGCGTACTACAAGTATGTGTGCGTCGCGCCCCCCCACGGGCGGCTCGCGCACCGAGACGTCTTCTGGTATATGCGTCGTGGCGGGCGCTTTCTGGCCGACCCCCCCGGGAAACGGTATACTACAGGATGACTCTACCACATGTTCGGGTCGGGCGCACGCCTCCAAGGCGGACACATCGTACTACAGGGTCCGGCTTGAATAAGGAACACTTGCTTTTCAAAAGGGGCTCGGTCGTTCCTTTGGTTTGCATGCGTTCCGCTGCCTTCTTGGCGGCGAACCCCTCTGGCGTTCCTTCGAACTGAATAGACTTGCTTGGAAAAAAGGGGCTTCGTTCTTTATTTATCCTTCCTTTGGTCAGGCCGAAGACTGTAGTATGCCCTTGTGCGTCCCACAGGAGGGTCGGCGTTCAAGGGGGGCCTGGGCGGGGCGGGGGCGCTTCACGCGCCACTCGGGGAGCGTCCCGAGTGCACGCCCGCCGAGGTTCCGCCGCCGGCTCCCGGGCTGTCGGCGCTGCGTGGCGACGGAGGGGGAGAGGCAAAGGGCAGGCGAGCGCGCAGGCGGGAGGCCCAGGACGGCCCCACCCACCAAACCACCCCAACCCAACCCGAAGGCTCAGATTTACCCTCGATTTCTAGTGTGGGTGGTGGGGGGGGGGCGGGAAACATCGATAAAACACATGTGGAATCCTTACCCCCCCCCAACCCGAAATTCGGGTCTTCGGGTTGGGTTGGGGTGGTCTGGCAGGTAGTCAGGACGGCCCCATGGGACCATCTTGGGGCATGTTGGAGTTGTCGATTCCGAGCCAGGAGCGCCCGAGGCCTAGGAAGAGGCAAGGGCGCCCGGGGGCGCCCAGTCTGGGACATCGTGGCCGCACCACGGCGCGTGCCCGAAGCATCCACCATGTCGTCCAGGGGCAAGGGTGGGGGGAACGTGGGATTCGAGTTTGCCGGATTTTTTTTTGTTTTTTTTTTTTACAGCCGCAGGCGGAAGCGCCAGCGGCGGGAGGTCGCGGGCGGGCTACGGCCGCGACTAAATTGCCGAGCGCGCGCGGGGGCCTCGGATCAGGCGGCGGGGAGGGGGCAGCGAGGGTTTGCCGGATCTCGGGCAAGAGAATATTCCCGGATAGTCCTAAAAACCAGCAGGGGCAGTGCCGCAAGATTGGCAGGGCAGTGAGCATGCGACTCGTCGGAAAGCACGCGCGCCTGCACTGTACGTTGGTGTGCGTGCCGCATGTGCGATGTTGCTTGCCTGCGAGCACGCACCCCGACGCCACTTCCGCAAGGATGGGGCTTCATGGGGGCAGTATGGTTCCTGCCTGTGCCACGTGCCCCTCTCCCTTGCAACTTGAGCTGGTACGGTTGGCTCCTTTTGAGCGCAGGTCAACGTGCTGAAGCAGGCATGTTCGCGGAATCGTGCACTGGAGCGGAAGGTGCTCTCGGAAGAGTTCTTGCTTCGGGGAAATCAGCGGTCAGAGGGCATGCGCAAGGGGGCGTCGAGGCCCCAAGGGCGAAGCCGCCTTAGGCTTGAGGACGAGGGCGGCAGCATGACAGCAGCGTTGCTTGTGACCTTGGGGGTGGGGATAGAAAAGGTGATGCTGTTAGGGGTCCCTCGACTGGCGTTATGCGTTCTGATGTAATGCTTCGGATGTTTGGATGCTTGGTGATGGTTCGCGTATCCCCGCCTGCCCATCCAGAAACGAGTCGCAAGCGAGGTGTCTCGAGATTGGCAGCGAAGAAGACCATGCAACTGATAGAGTAGACGCCTGCAATTTCGAATCCATGCTCAGCCCAACAAGCCTCCAACAGCAGCAGCCAATCTTAGGTCCTCTGGGGTATCGCGTGGGCCTCCTGGGGCCTTCTCGGGACTCTGTCTTGGGTTATCTCGGATACGTTTGCGGCTACCCTGTGAGCCATCACCGAACGAAAGAGGAGGGTGCGAAATCGTGTTGCCCTCCTGGGGGGGCCCGACAGTCTCCTCTTGAAGTCCTTGTGGGATGTCCCCGCGGGCCTTCGGTCCCATTCCCGCTCATTCATGGTTCCGTCCTCCCCCTCGCCCTTCAAAAGACAGCTTGCAGTTGGACCAACTGCCCGTCGAAGACGGGTGCAAATCCCACACCTCCGCATTTCCCCGCTCGCGTCGCCGCTGGTGATGCCATGTTTCGCCGATCGGCGCGGGCCCCCGTCCCCGACCCCTCCCTCCCCCCACAGACCAGATCTTTGGGCGATTGATCAGGATATCGACTGAGCACCGCCCAGGACCCAGATCCCCCCCCACGCTACGGCCCAGTGTCGAAACTCAGGAAAAACGCCTATCATGTCCCTTCTCATCCCCGTCCGTCCCTCATCCGTAGCCTCCAGCCTCCTGATATGCCCTCTCCTCTCTCTTTCACTTCCCCCTGCTCCCGCCGGCTCTCCAGCATCGCCTCCGCATCCTCCTTCCCATCCTCATCTTCGCCTTCTGCCCTCCCCCCATCGTCAAGTTCCTCCCCCATCCCCTTCTCACTGTTCTCGATCGGCGGTGGCGCCAGTGCGACTTACACTTACCGGGAGGACCATCTTGAACACTTGTTTCCCTTTTGCATATGCATTTTGTGATGGGGCGTCTTTCACGGTCGCCGTGCCTTTTAGGCTCGTGTTCTCGTTCAACATGTCTGCCTTGCCCGTGTGCTGAACCAGTTATGTATGATGTGCATGTTTGGCATTCATGCCACGTGCCTTGTCTGTCGCTCCAGCTGTCTCGTATTGGCTGGTTTCGGATACCATGCTACATACTTTGCATGGGCAATCGTGGTTTGGTTTGCATGTAATGATTTGTGTTGGACGTTGGCGGATGGTCCGGGGCGTCGGCTTCGCCAGTGAGTTGTGTTTTGTTTTGGTTTCGCAAGGTCGATCACAGAGAGAGTTGTTGTTGTTCTCGGGATTCTTATCCAAGTCAGCTAGCCAATACTGCTTCTAGGCAATGGATTGGCAGGTGGCTTTCGTCGTCGTCACGGTAGCGCGCAGCCACCAGTGGTTCATGGACAAGTCCGAATACGTCAGATAAGCGCGTTGCTGGTCTCGGTGCGCAGGTGAGCTCGACCCGGTCCGCTCTGCATGGCGCTTCGAAGATCGCGCCGAGCAGTCGGAAGCCATTCGGATGAGACCGTGGCTCGCCGGAAACCACCACGCAGTGCCTGATGGCCCAGTTCACGATTCTGCGCCTGCGTCTGGTGTCGAGGGCCTGTGAGCGATACAGTCAACCATGACAGTAAGGATGGGGCAATTTTTCAAGGTTACCCTTGCATCCTTGCCCCTTCGGTATCCGGCATCCTTCAACATTATGCTGCGCTCCGCACGGAAAACGTCAACATGGCATTCCAAGGCCCTTGCATCCTTACCGCGCATCCTTAATATCCTGGTCGAGTGTAGGCCACGGGCGCTCTATTTCGCACTCCGCCAGTCGCAGCCGCTTGCCGCTCAGCCCTGCCGTCCTCCGCCCCGAGGGGGTCGGCGCGCGGGGTTGTGCGCCCGAGGCGCTGTGGGGCCAGAAGGAGAAGGAGGACCATGGCAGCCGCTCCTCCCTGACGCTGAAGAGCAACCGCGGCGTGACCAAGACGGTGCACCTGGTGCCCAAGGGGGCAGAGGTCCTGCCCGTTTTCAACCCAGACATGATCGCGTCGTGAAAAATCAGGACACCGGTTTTTCGCTATATTTTCGGCCCCCGGGGGCCCTCGCCGGGCCCCAGGGCCGTCGAAGAAGCGACTCAGGATGACAGACCGGTCCCCGGGACACGGTCGGGACTTCCGGGGACGCCGTCCTGAGACAATCAGGACGTCGCATGTCTGGCCAACTTTCTCCGCCGTTCTCGTCGCCCCCGCCTCTTCACAACCCCGCTGCTCTGCCGGGTCCGCCCCGTCCTGGGGCCCCTCCCCGGATTGCCCGCGCCTCTGCCCGTCCGGTCCTGCCCCGAGCTCCCCTCGAGACTCCGACGGCCGTGCCCACTCACAGGCGGAGCTTACGGTTATGTGACGCCGCCGATCCGCTTCTGACATGATCCCCCCACCATAGCATGGCGTGCACGGAGGAAGCCCTGGCAGGGGTAGAGCGTGCACCAATGATCTCTCGCAGGGGATCGCCTCACAGGGATTGCGCGCACGGAGAACGCCGTTTTTGGTCCGAGGATAGGGTGTTCTTCGGAGATCGCTGTTGCACGCTATTTGGGCGACGCTAATAGTAGGGGCACCGTGCCACCATCGTCGTCGTCATCGTCGCCTCTCGCTCGTGATGCCCCTTCCACGTGCGGACCAGTTGGCCCCTCCATCGACCCTTCCCAGGGAAGGACGGGCGGTGCGGAGGAGGAGGAGGCGGAGGAGGAGGAGGAGGAGGAGGAGGAGAAGGAGTGGACGGTGGAGGCGAGTGCGGGAGGAGGAGGAGGAGGAGGAGGAGGAGGAGGAGAAGGATGAGAAGGAGGAGGAGGAGGCTCGGCAATAGCAGGAGGAGGTGGGGATGGAGGTGCAGGCGTGCGAGGCGGAGGATCCGCAGCTACACCATGGACGGATTTCCCACGGGGGCCACTGCAGGTGTCCAGGAGTTCAGACCGCGCATAGCTTCGACGAGGCACCACGGTGAACGCGTGTAATGCCCGCCCCTTTATTAAGCACCCTTCTGGAGCGAGTTGCCGTGGGAAACTGGAACGCAGACATCCTCGCCAAGCATTCCATCTCCCGGCGCCCCTCGCCCTCCCCCCAAGTATCGGACGTGCTTAGGCCCTCCCTGGGCAAACTGTTGTTTGCGGCCCGCGTGCTCCTCCGTCGAGAGGAGGAGGACCCGAATCTCCGACGAGCAGCTCCCGGTGCGGGGGGCTGTAGCGGCCCCTGTCTGCCTTCTGCTGCCAGGCAGGGCAGAGCGGCAGCACCTCGGGAGTTGGCGGTGGAGTCGTTATGCCGGGGCATCAGATCGCGGGCAATGTAGGGGGGATAGGCTCAGGTAAAACAGGGCTAGGATCGGGATAAATCGCTCCAGAGCGTTCTGGAGCGCTCTCAGAGCGTTCCGGAACGCTCTGGAGCGGCCGCGGCGCCCAATACATCCTCCAAACCCGCCGATTCTCAGAGATTCCGAGGTATCCCGATCCGATTTTCTCCCGATCTTCGCGTCGTTTTATCAGGCGGGGATGCATCGACCCCCGATCGGCCATTCGTCGCCGCTGGGGGCCCAGGCCCGATGGCCAGCCCCGCCCAGGAACGCGCGGTGTCGCCATCGGAGCCGTGTCGCCGATCCATCGGTGAGGCATCCGCGATTCCGAGTCGATGGTAGCTCTCCCATAGACGGCCCCCCTCGTGCAGTGTCTTCCCTCTCAGATCGGAGGGCAGCGCTGCAGTTTGGTAATTATCGGCCCTGCGTTCCATCCTGTTCGCGCGCCGTCCAGCGCAGGAGTCATGCTTGTCTGCCTGCCTGCCTGTCTGTCTGTCTGAGTTCGACCGCTTGGCCAGCGCGCTGAGTGATCCCGTGGCTCTCGCCGCAGCAGTGGGCGAGCACGGGCATCTGTTCCCCCAATGGAGTCTTGGGTTCAGCTCCGTACGCCTCAATGCGTATCTTCTTCTTCACGATCGATGCGGGCGGGGGGGGTCGTGGCCACGAGGTCACGAAGACCAGCGTGAATAAGTTCGAGGAGGAGCGCCAGAAGATGGCCGAGGCCAAGGACCCGGGGCATGCAGGCCGGCCCCTGGTCTGGTGGGGATCCCTGGACCTGCACCCCTCCCGCCTCCTGCCTTCTGCCGCCTCTGTCCGACCCGGCCTCGGCAGACCTGTCTCTCTGGCCTGTTCCGATCGCACCTGCAACTGCAACACACAATTATTGAATCGCTTCGCTCATTCCGCCGGCCCGTGATATGGCATCGCTGGTTTTTGTCTGTGTGTTCGTTGCCCATGTTGCGCTCTTGGGGGCGGGTGTCGTTCGGACGCGTTGCGTGGGGAGTTTTGATGGTGAAGCAGTTCCCTGGGGGTCGTCTCTCGATGGGGCGAAATAGAGTCGTCGTCAAGATGCTTCTTTGGGGGGCCTCTTGGGGTCTGTTGAGAGGCCGTTCGGGGGCGCCTGGGAGACATGTTTGAAGCCTTCTGGGGCTTCTTTTGGGCCTCCTGGGAGTCTCCTGGGGCCTCTTGGCGACATCTTGGGGCCTCTTGGAGGCCTCTTGGGGCCTCTTTGGGACCTCCTGGGCGCCTTCTGGGACGGAGGGCTCCATTTTTGAGTTCTCGGTATCCCTCCTGAGTCCCTCTTGGGCCCGTCTTGGGGCCTCTTGGTCCGTCTTGGGCGGCACTTGGGCCGTCTTGAGGGCTCTCTTGGGTCGTTTCGGCGCCGTCTTGGGAGCTTCGTGGGCCGTCTTGGAGCGGTCTTGGGGGCCTCTTGGGCCGTCTTGGAGCGTCCGGAAGCCGAAAAAGCCAGAACACAAAAAACATCGAAAAAACCAATGACAATCAACGATTTTGGCCTCTTGGGGCTCTCTTCGGAGGCCTCTTGGAAGGCTCTTGGGGCGTCTTGGAGGCCTCTTGGGCTGTCTTGGGGGCCTTTTGGGCCGTCTTGGGGTCATCTTCGGCGTCTTCGAGCGCTCTTTGGGCGTCTCGGGGGCCTCTTGGGCAGTCTTGGGGGCCTCTTGGGGCACTCTGAGCGCGCTCTGGGGAGCCTGAGAGGCCGCACCCAGAAGGAAAACCATCTCTGAGTAGACTTGGTCGGGCGGCGGTCGGGCGGCGGTCGGGCGGCGACCGGGCGTTGGTCGGGGTACTTTTCGCCGGGGGACCCCCAGGGGCCGCCCCGCGCGCGCGAACTAGAAATACCTTTAATACTGTTAACCAGTTACCGGAGATCTTAGCACGCCCTGGCCCGTTGGGCCGGCGAATTCCAGATTTCGTAATAAAAGAGAGGGGGTCTGGACCCTCCAAGACAAGCCATTTCAGACCCCCCCTCGTGGGAGAACCCTCCAAAACATCGTCCCCAGACCACCCCAGGCCCTCCGAGATAGCTTGGAAAAGACCCCCCCCGAAATGAGACCCCCCTCCCTTGATTACGAAATCTGGAGTAGCCTGTTCCGATCGCACCTGCAACGGCAACACACAATTGGGTGGTCGATCGGCCTCGGGCGTCCCACGGTGGCTGCGGCATGCGAAGGGAGCGTACCATGCTATCCACTGATCGTTCCCACTGCCGTGCTGGCCGCCGTCCAGGTTGAGCATGTGGACTCCAACAGGCCCTCGCGTTCCACAGTACTTCTGTACAACACCGTTTGTATTCCGCCTGCCGTCTGCTTCAACCCACGCGACACGCCCATGTTGCCGTCGTAATTCGTATGGTATTTCGTCTTTCTCTCGTATGGTGCCATCCTCCTTTGATTGTTCAGGCCCAGGCATACTATGTCCTCCTCCTTCCCTGATTTGCAGCTGGCGGCATCTGTGTCGAGCCCTGGGGGGGATCGCCTGCACTTTCAGGTGTCGTTGTCTATATATATATATGTAGAAGATAGATGTATGTATATATATATATATATATATATATATATAGATCATGTTTCGATCGCACCGCCTGCTGCATGCTACGTACAATCTCGGTCCATCATCAACAGACGCCGCGGCCCGTGTTCGCCCCAGTCGAGGCTGGCACCCTGCCCATCACCAAGACACGTTCTGGCCACTTCGGCGTGGGCCCGTCGGGGGCGAGGCGCGCGCTCCGAGGTCTTAACAGCACAAGCTCCGTGGCGGGCGCCTTCTGGCCTTGTCGCTTGGGCAACGAAGAGTTGTGCACCACATGCGGGGGTCGGACGTGCGCATCCACCAACGAAAACACGAGGCACGAACCTCCCCTGGAAATTGAGTGCAGCTCGCGCGCGCAGCCCGCCTCCCCGAATTCGATGTTCGCGCAGGCGCGCCGGGCGACTGAAGGATAGTTTGCCGTCGGATGCAGCTCCAAGCGGTGCATTCTTTTCCTCCTCCTCCTCCTCCTCCTCCTCCTCCTCCTCCTCCTTCCTCCTCCTCCTCCTCCTCCTCCTCCTCCTCCTCCTCCTCCTCCTCCTCCTCCTCCTCCTCCTCCTCCTCCTCCTCCTCCTCCCCCCCCCCGGCCCCTCTGGCATCCCCAGTCGGCCAGGCCCCCGCCCCCTGCAGGAGGACGCCCTGCTGAGCCGCTTCTGCGACGGCAAGGACAACGCCTGGCGCCCGGACAGCTTCTTCGTCGAGGCCTGCGGCGATGGGAGCGGCGAGGCGGCTTGGGGATTCAAGCCTCGGAGGAGAGACAGAGTCAGATTTGCCGAAAGGGGGGGATGGGGCGAGGTAGTTGCACTCGCGCCATATCCGACATCCTATCCATCTCTCCCATCCCTTCCCTTTGCGTTTATTTTTCCACGTGTCATCACCGACCTGCATCTCCGACAGACGGACCCCATTGTGTCATGCGCAATCGGAAAAGGGACACTGCGTACAGGGGGATCAGGATGAGGAAGAGGAGGAGGAGGAGGAGGAGGAGGAGGAGGTGGCTGTTGGGTAGGAAGATTTGCAGGAGGACAAGGAGGATGAAGGAGGAGGACGAGGACGAACAGCAGCAGCAGCAGCAGCAGAAGGAATTGGATTGGAAGGAGCGCGAGGAGCAGGAGGATCAGGAGAAGGCGCAGGAGGGTAAATGAGGGTTGCGACAACGATACAAAAAGGACTCGGATCTAGAAAAGTGGCCCGCGCTGGGGGACGAGCGCCATTTTGAACGACGGGGGCAAAGCGCCGATCCGAAAATGAGCCTTTCTGCAGCGGGAGCACCGCTTTCAAGCACCGACAATAATCGGATTGCTCAAAAAGCGTAGGACACGTAAATTGTTGAAAGCTCGTGTGCACCAGAACAGTACTTTGGAAGGGCCGGAGATCTCCTGGACAGAGTGAAAAGGGGAAGAGGAGAGTAGCATTCGGAGCGCGTGGTTGCACAGTGGGGGGGAGGGGGGGAGAATGGGGAGGGCAGGAACGATGGGAGCATGGTGAGGAGGAGGGGGAGGAGGAGGAGGAGGCGGAGGAGGAGGAGGGGGAGGAGGAGGAGGAGGAGGAGGAGGAGGAGGAGGAGGAGGAGGTGCCGCCACGTTGCCGCCCCTCTTGCCTCGGCGCGGCCGCCTCGTGCGCCGGGTGGGTCTGGCAAGATATCGCCACGATGCCACCGTTGTTGCCTCGTTTCCGCCTCGTTGCCGCCTCGTGCGCTGGGTTGGTACAGCCAGGTCACTTGCCGCCTCGATGCCCCGCGTGCTCCAACGAGGTTTCGCCAGGTTGCCGCCCGTTGCCGTCTCGTTACTGCCTGGTGCGCTGGTTGGGTCTGGCGAGGTTTCGCCACGTGACCGCCCGTTGTTGTGTTGTTGTTGCATCTAGCTTGCACCACGCATACATCACCACAGAGCTCACACCTCATGGCCTGCACCACAGATTACACATCCACAGTGCAACAACTTACTATTTGGGGTCCACGCTGGCTAACATGATTTGCATTCTGGGAAGCGCCCCCTTAACAGACGAGCGCCCTATGTTCCTGCTATTTTGGCGTACGCCTTGTTCTCAACGCGATTCGCCCTCCATCCCTCCCTCTAAAAAGAACGCATGGAGGTAGTAGCCTGAAGCTCAGGGATGGGTCCAGTGATTCTCAGATGGTTGTTACAACGTTTTATCATGTATTGCTACATCGTGTGCCACATTGTATGACCAGGAATAGGGCCCTCGTTGCTTGAAAAGTCCCCGGAAGAAGTTTCAATCGAGACACCCGTTTTGAAAATTCAGCAGACGGTCGTCCGTGTAATCGTTTGGCGTTTGACGAGACTTATTCTAGCATTTGGAGAAATTGCAAGCGATTGCTTGGCATGTCAGCAGCTGGTCTTGCAGCCTCCAGCCCTGAAGGCCCCGCCCTGGCCAATTCGGCCGACGGAGCTCTTCACCAATCCTCACATCGTGGACGCTGGCGCCGGTCCGTGGACCCCTCCGCTGGATTTGCGGTTCTAGGTCCCAGCGGCACCGCCAGTGGGTTGAAGCCGTGCGAGCGCGGGTCGGACATTTCGACCATCATTTCGAGGCGAATCCAGCCGCCGAGGCGACGAGGGAAGGCTCACGGCCCTGAGATATGACGTTGCGAATCATCGCAAACGTTGCGGCAGGATTGATCCATTTAATTGATGGCACCCCTCGCCTTGGATGCATGCGGCTTGGAGCTGGATTACAGCTTGGATCTGAGATGCATGCGGCTTGGAGCTCGTGTGCCATATGTGGCACACTTGCTGTTGCCTCTGAAAGGGACAGGCTCTGGACGTTGTGGCACGTGCGAGGGCTGCAAGTGTGTGCGCGTAGGGAGAGCTCAGGAAAGTGATTATGTATTGTTTTCGCGGCGTTCTATCTTCTGTTTGCACTTGACACGCTGGACGGTCGACGGGACCTGCGGGTTTGCATGCGCATCATGGCCAACACCATGGAGGCGAAGAGCAAGAAGAACAAGAAGGCAGATGGTAAGACAAAAAAAGAGAAGAAGGGGAAGGACAAGAAGAGCAAGAAGAGCAAAAAGGACAAGAAGGGCAAGAAGGACAAGAAGGCCACGTCCAAAAAGAACAAGAATAAGAAAAAGGACAGGAAGGAGAAGCAGGCCGGCCGCAAGGGCGGCGCCAAGCGGTCCAGGGGCTCGTCGGACGAGGACGCCTCGAGCGAGGCGGGCCCCGTGGAGGTCGGCTCCGACGACCGCCCGCAGGACGGGGCGCCAGGCCCACGGGGGAGGACAAGCGCGCTCGAGACGGCTCTCCAGACGCCCTCGTCCTCCGCCTCCTCCTCCTCCGCCTCCTCCTCCTCCTCCCAGGTCTCCTCCTCCTCCTCCTCCTCCTCCTCCTCCTCTCAGGTCTCCTCCCTTTCCGTCTCCTCGTTCGGTCTCGGGACGCGCTCCAGCAGCCGTGCCTCGCCGGAAGGAGGTCGGATTGGAGATGCCTGGCCGCATTTTCGCTGGGGCTGTGCGTGCGTCCGATGGCAGGCGCATGGCACTGGCCAGTTGGGGCTTAGAGCTGCATGCGCTCTGAGGCTCTGGAGCATCTGCGCATCCGAGGAGGGGCAGGAGGAGGAGGAAATGGAGGATGAGGAGGAGGAGGAGGAGGAGGAGGAGGAGGAGGAGGAGGAGGAAGAGGAGTAGGAGGAGGAGAAGGTCGGATGAGGAGGAGGAGGAGGAGGAGGTGGAGATTGGAGGATGAGGAGGAGGGAGAAGGAGCGAGTCTGCCCCGCAGCTGCAGCTCGTCCTCGAGCTCCGCAGCTGCAGGCTGCAGGCCCGTCCTCGAGGAGGAGGACCGTGAGGAGGAGCGACTCCGCCCGGAGGCCGCAGCCGCAGCTCGTCCTCGAGCTCCGCGGCCGGGAGCTGCTCCGCGGACTTCGGCGGCGCGCCGAGCAGCCCGGGCTGAGCGGCGCGGCGGTGTCGGACTGGCCTCGAGCCGGCGGAAGCCAGGGGCCGCCGTGGGGCGAGCGGGTCTTGAGAGGGACCCTTGACTCGGTGGCGGAAGCCGATTCCTACCCTCGCCGAGCAAGGCTGGGGTCGGAGGATATCGCGCCGCATCGCCGATGCACCGGCGAAGCATCGGCGATGCGCAGCTCCATTTTGGGCCCAATTTTCTCCACGCCGGCGCCGCCGATGCATCGCTGACGTCGCCAGTGCATGGCCGACGCATCGCAGGTGCATCGGCGATGCATCGCCGATGTATCGGCGATGCGGCGAGAGCCTCCGACCCCACTTACTCGGACCCCATCTGGGAGGCTCCTATCTTAAGAGACACTCGGTGGCAAAGACCGAATCCTACCCTCGCCGATCAACGATTCGGGCATCTCGACGGGCTGCGGGGATCGGGTTCGGAATTCGTCGAACACGTGGCGAAATCCGAGGCCTACCCCTGCCTCACTTTGATTCGTGAGGATCGATGGTTGCTGGGCCTGGGAGTCGGGCTCGGATGTCGTCACCCAGCGGTGAGGGGGGGAGGGGGCGGGAGGCGGTCGTCGGCAGCCCGCGACGCTCGAGCACAGAGGTAGGCCGCCGCGGGCGCCGAATCCTTTCGCGTTGCAGAGCGGGCGCGCCGCACACGCCGATTTGTCGCAAAAGGGCGGGTCGCGGCTGGGTCGACGCATGCGGGTCACAGGTGGGCCGCGGGTGGTTCGCGGGCGAGGACGATGACGACATTCAGACAACAATCGTCCAGGACGCCGAGTCCGCCTCCTTTCTCTACGCCGGCTCCCCTTGCTCTTGAGCTTCGCGTGATGAGCCGCCTTGGGGTCGAACTTCGTACACGTTAATTTGTCACCCCCTCTGGTGTCTGGGGGTTGACCGCGAGTTTCTTTGTTTTTACACCTCGGTGTCTGGTGAGTTCACTTGCACGATTTCGGGTGGTCCCTCCGCCTCCAACGCGTTGGCCTTCCTTGGTTTGCTCTCGTCTTCTGGCGTTTGTCATGTCGTCATCTGCCTCTTCCTCCTGCTGCCTCCTAGGGGCCGACGCGTTGGGGGCTGTAGTGGCATCTTTGATAGAACACCGTTGTGCGTTCGCGCGCTTTGGTGGTGCCAGGCGAGCGCCGGACACTTTCCAACAAAGCTCTGGTTTTACCAGTTTCGTCGTTCTGTCGTAGCCCTAGCCGCGGAATGGTCGCTCTTCCCGTGCCCGTCTGCACCTCTGCCCTAGCACGTGGCTTTTACCCAGACCAACGGTCATCTGCGTCCTCTCCTCACCTCGGCCCCGACCCTTCGGCCTGCCGTTTTTGTTGTAAGCGTTGGCGATCCAGCCGCTTCTGAGCCACGCGCGGTTCGACATGGAACCATGGGACCCTGGCGCATGCCAGGTATGATCGTCAGCCCGCACTTGTTTCTACAGAGCCTAGGCGGCTCCTGGGGAGCCGTTGGCTCGTGATGGCGCAACTCGGCAGAGTCGTTCGTTCGTTCTTCTCCTCCCCACCATCGTCATCTCCATCGCCATACACCTTTTTCCTCCCATGCCCTTTTCCCTCTTTGTGGGCTCGCCTCAGCCTGCCTGGCCCTGGCCAACTCAACGCACTTCCATACCGCAAATCAAACTGCGTGCGGCTCATCCCGCCATCGTGCCCTGGGTTTTGAGTTGGAGTTCTCAGGGAAGCTTTTCGGGGGCTTTTCGGAGCGCTCTCGGGGGCCTCGTGGGGGGCAATTTTGGGCATCTTGCGGGCCTCTTGGGGTCCTCCTGGGCCTACTGAGGCCCCTCGGGGCCGAGGGCTTGAAATCCTCATGGGCCGTCTTGGGCGCTTCTTGCGTCGTCCCGGGGCCCCTCTTGGGCCATTTTTGCGGGCATCCCGGGCAGTCTCGGGGCGATTTCGGAGGCCTCCGGGGCCGTTTGGGAGCGGCGGAAAGCCGAAGAGGCGACCAAAAGCCATCAAAGACCAAATCAAAGCCAACTGAAAATCAATGAGTTGGGTCTCTTGGGACCCTCTTGGGGGCCTCTTGGAGGCCTCTTGGGGCGTCTTGAAGTCTTCTTCGGCCGTCTGGGGGCCATCTTGAGCGTTTTGGAGCGATCGTTCGGCGACGCATTGCCCTCACGGATTGTCTCGGGGGCATTTTGGAGCCTTCTTGGTCCGTTTTGGAGCCCTCTTGGCCCCAAACAAGTCACGCGACAAGCCTCCAGGAACCCCATGGGGGCACGCGCCACGCTCTGGAAGATTTGAGACTTTGGGGCGCCTGCCCCTTAGGATCGAGGACTGAGGCTCGGGGGATTGGGCAAAGGACCTGAGCACACGCCCACTCCGCGCCCGGCGGCACGATGGCGGACGGTAGTCCGAGTCTACGCGTGTACGCTTAATCTTTTCTTTAGTAGGAGCACAAACGCATCATTGAATTATAATATTTTACACTGCTCTCGTCTAGTCTACGTTGATCTAGTGTGCTCTCTGGTCTGTCCTACTCTATTACTCAGCATTGGGTACTCAACTACTCTTCCTTTTTTCCATTCTGCATTACTCCGCCCTGCTCTAACTCCCTTCTCTACCCTGTCCTCCACTCGACGCTACTCGAGTCTACTAGACTTCTGAGTGTGAAGTTCGTTCGGCGACTGTCTGGGTGCCACTGGCATAGTCACAGGAAGCTATTGGAATAGCAGAGGATGCCATGCGGATACAGAGGAAGCCATGCGTAAACCAGGGGTATCCATGCGGATACATGAGACAGTATGGGCAAAGTAGGGAGGACCAGGGGACCAGATCTCCCAGCTAGGACTCAGGTAGGAAAGCCAATTCGGATGATGATGGTTGTGCTGGTGATGATGACGCTAATGGTGACGATGAAGGGGAGGGGCGCGAGGAATACGATGACGCAGCCCCAGGCGTGCGCAAGTTTGATC